ATACCTGCCTTATAAGTTTGTTAGATAGAAATGAATGTATAGAGTCTATCTTAATATCCTAATCATTTAAAATGATCTAGAGGTGCTTTACATGTAATGGAACAATTTGCCATTGAAGTATGGAGCGGCTGAATTAACTGTTAATAAGAGGAAAATGTTGAATCACGAAAACTTCGTGAATAGTAGCAGAATAACATTCTTTCACTTCTTGAACTTACAGAGGAAACTTGTCTGCCCTCATGAAAATCAGCCTTTATTATCTACAGCTTAAACGTTTGTTCTTGTCTTAGAGAGAAAACCACCAGTTAACAACCGTGAATAGCTCAAAGAGTTAGGCACGCAATTAATTTATTATCCTCCCAAGAAAAACTTCAATATTTTTTTTGGAAGGATCAAATACGGAGAAACAATCATCTCGTTTACGAGCATTTCAAGAGAATTCTTCTAGAAATTTCACTTAGTATTTGGTTTTCAGTTCATCAATCCTTTATAATGTCTTACTTCAATGGCGTTGGGCTTCCAAAAATGCTAAGTCCATCTGTTGACTGAAAATATCCGAATTCGGTACACGTTTGCCATGTCCATAGTAGTGCTGCCCCAGCTTCTACAAATAAAAATTTACGCCTATTTAGAAAATACCGGCAGTGCTCACTTGGTCCTCGTTTCTGAGACGTTTTTAGCTGTTGAATGAAGTCTGTATAATTATTGTCAGTGCCGATAAATTCTTTATTCTGAAAATACTTATGAAAATAATCGTTTGTTCATAAGTGTTGCAAAATTGTTACTAAATGTTTGCGAGATCAACCCTATTCGTAGCTTCTAGTTTGCGTAAAGCAATTCTGGTCATAATTGTAACCAGATAATGCAATGGTGGTTATAATTATAACCTAAAAATCCTCTAGCTTGAAATATTCCTGATTTTAAAAATTCAACAAAATTTCGCAATAGTAAATTTCAAAAGGTGTTTGGTTCAGTTAGGGCACATAAATTCTAAAGTATAAAACAATGTATGCTGGAAGGATGGTCTAAAAAGTTCAGTTTTTCCTCTTAACTTGGTTTCGTTAGCTTCCGTTACTCAAAGAAACTTTTCACCCTAAAGCACAATCGCTGGTTTAGATCGAGTTTATAATAAGTGCAGTAATCAAGGCATTTCAATCAGTTTTCATAAATTTTTCTGTAGTGAATCCCT